GTATGAGGGATATATTACTGTGCTGTTATTTGTGGATCAGAGAAGGAAATGCACATTAAGGAGGACTACAAGACTCAGCTGAACCTTCATAAGTCCATAAGCATGATAAACTCTTACTGTATATAACTTTAAGAGTCCATGTGAGTCGGTGAGTAAGTGAGACCACCAGTGGCCAGCACCAAGAATTCTGCATTTTATTAAGAAGCATGTCACATTTGCACACCGAGAGACTGTTTAACCACTTGCCTACCGGGCACTTTTGCCCTCTTCCTGCCCAGGCCAATTTTCAGCTTTCAGCGCTGTTGCACTTTGAATGACAATTGTGATGTCATGCAACACTGTACCCATATAAAATTTTTATCATTTTTTGAGACAGAGCTTTCTTTTGGTGGTATTTAATCACCACTGTTTTTTTATTTTTTGGTAAAGAAACCAAAATCAATTGAAAATTCTGAATAAAAAAATTTTGTTTCTTAGTTTCTGTTATAAAATTTTGTAAATGATTAATTTTTCTCCTTCACTGATGTGTGCTAATGAGGCTGCAGTGATGGGTACTGATAGGCTGCACTGATAGGCGGCACTGATGAGGAGGTACTGGTAGGTGTCACTGATGGGCATTCACAGACATCACTGATAGGCACTGAAAGGCAGTACTCATATATGGCACTGATAGGTACTGATAGGCAGCACTGACTGGCACTATTAGGTGGCACTGACTGGAACTGTTAGATGGCACTTACGGGCACTGATAGGTGGCACTGACTGCACTGACTGCACTGATAGGCGGCACTGACTGGCACTGATAGTTGGCACTGAAAGGCAGCTCAGATGGGCATTGATGTGCACTGGTAGGCACTGATATGTGGCATTGATGTGCACTGATGGGCAATGACAGGTGGCATTGATGAACACTGACTGACAGGTGGCACTGATGGGGCTACACTGGTCATTAGAGTACTGATCACCAGTGCCCTGATAATCAGTGTAGATGTCCCTTCTGAGGAATGCTGATTACCGGCTCTCCTCTCCTTACAAGCTGTCAGCGCAACAGCTCATGAGGAGAGAAGTGCCGATAACCGACATTTCCTCATTTACATGTGATCAGCTGTGATTGGACACAGCTGATCACATGAAAGAGCCAAGGTCATCGGCTCTTTCCGTGGATCGGTGATCCGCTGTGTCCCAGGGACACAGCGCACCACCGATCGCCGCGCTGAGCGCCCCCAGGAGGTTAAGGTGGGAGGACGTCGCATGACGTCCTCCCAGAACGAGAGAACCATTGCTCTCCTGTCATTTCTTTATATGACGGGCAAGAGGCAGTTAAACAGACTAATGTACACCTGGAATTTATGTTGTGATACTTGGCACATTATATGGAATTTTTATGGAGAGGGAGCACAATAAGAGTACTCATCTTTTAAAAAAAGTATTTTAACTTGTTTACATTGTATAGCACATTGGAGTGTGATTTGTAGGTGTATGACTATAATGATTCAATTATGTTTTAACAGGCAGCACTTTCTTGTAATAATATCATATTCAAGGGTCAGAACCCTAAGTAGAAGCAGCAGCAGCCAGGTATATTGTGAAGCACATTATTTATTAGTATTGGTAATCCTAGTGCAGGCTATTAGTTGTTGCAAAAAATATACCGGTACTTTCTTGCAAAACAAACACCACTAGGAATGACTTGTCTAATTAGTTATTTACACCACAATTGTGACATGCTCTAAATCAGTGCTTCTCAAATAGTGGGGCGCGCCCCCCAGGGGGGCGTGAGGCTCCGTCAAGGGGGGCGCGTCGCCCCCCCCCCCTTCTGACAGAAGGGACACTAAGTACAGGGGTGGGGCAGAGGGCTGCTGTCTCTTACCTGGCTCCCACGATGATCCATCCAGGAAGCGCTGCTCCTTCCGTCACTCCGGCCACTCCCTCACTCCTGCCGCTCGGCTCCGCCTCCTCACCGGTGATTGGCCGCCAGAACTGTAGCTCAGGAAAGGTACACAGGCAGCCAATCACGGGCGAGGAGGCGGAGCCGAGCGGACCCGCGAAAATCGAGTGAGGGAAAAGCTGGTAAGTGTGCAGTGCAGAGGTGCTGCTGCAACCACATATGCTGGCTGCAGCAGCACCATACTGCAACAGGGGTCAGCAAGTGTCATTGGTGTCAGTGGGAGGAATAGTGCTGCATCATTGGTGTCACTGATACTAATGATGGGGCATTATTCCTCCCACTGACACCAACGATGGGGCACTATTCCTCCCACTGACACAAACGATGGGGCACTATTCCTCCCCCCCACTGACTCCAACGATGGGGCACTATTCCTCTCCCCACTGACAGGGTACTATTCCTCCCACTGACACCAATGTTGGGACACTATTCCTCCCACTGACACCAATGTTGGGACACTATTCCACCCACTGACACCAATGATAGGGCGCTATTCCTCCCACTGACACCAATGATGGGTCGCTATTCCTCCCACTGACACCAATGTTGGGACACTATTCCTCCCACTGTCACCAATGATGGGACGCTATTCCTCCCACTGACACCAATGTTGTACTTATAACAATTTTATAGACAAATGATACTATTTACAGTCGCGCGGGGGGGCGCAAAAATGTTTTCTTCTTCCTAGGGGGGGCATGACAGAAAATAATTGAGAAGCACTGCTCTAAATGCACTTAAGTTTCCATGCATTGGCATCCTTTTTTTTAGTGCACTGTATTGCTTTGATGTGCATTTTTTTTTAACATGCTTCACTGATGCTTTCTTGTTGTTGACAATGGGGCCTTGATTTACTAATGTGCCTAGACAAATTTCCGTGGGATAAAGTCTACTTTTCAATAGAGTCCATCTACTTTTAGACGGCAAAGACATTTACTAATGAAAGAGTTTAACAAGTAGACTCAAAAGTGAATTTACTAACCAGGATCACTGCAGAAACATGTTCACATTGAAATTTGCTTTCCCAAATATCTGGACTTCACTTTAAACAATATCTTACATTTCAAAAAATGTTTTCAATGGGTAAAAAATAGTTTTTTAAGGGAATTCATGATAGTCAAGAACTAGACTCTTTTCCAATGTCTATGCAGGTATAGAAATGAGCATGTGTAAGACACAATTTAGCCATCTGCTGTGGGCGCTTTCTTTTTAGAGGCTGTTTAATAGTAAATCTCTGTGTGGAGTCCTCTGCAAGTTGGCACTTGATTGTGTCTACTGTGTTTAACAAACAGCACTATTGGTAGCTAGGCATATCTTTATGTATTCTAATTTGATTTCCTTAGTTTTATTGATTCTGTTTTTGTTTCCTATCCTTTATAATTATTTCTGTAATGGTTTTACATATTTGAAAGGTCTAGATAATATATATTTTGACAGCTGAATCTAAAAATAAAGGTAGTCAATTAAAAAAAAAAAAAAAAACTGCATGGGATCCCCCCTCCCATCCATACCAAGCCCTTAGGGACTGGTATGGATCTTAAGGGGTAACCCCATGCCAAAATTTAAAAAAATGGCATGGGGTCCCTCCCAAATCCATACCAGACCCTTATCGGAGCATGGGGACAAGGGCCTCTTCCCCACAACCCTGGCTGGTGGTTGTGGGGGTCTGCAGGTGGGGGGCTTATCGGAATCTGGAAGCACCCTTTAACAAGGGGACCCCCAGATCCTGCCCCCCCCCCCACTTGATTGAGTATGGAGTACATGGTACCACTACTCATTCACAAAAAACCAAAAAGTGTAGTGTAAAAAAAAAAAGACAGGACATGGTCTTTGACACTTCCTTTAGTAAAAGAAAAATCTAAAATAATGTCCCCCAAAGTAGATCCAACGTCAATCACAGTGTAAGCCGCCAGCGACCCGAGAAAAAAAAAAAAGGTTCTGGAGACATCATCCGATTGACCCCGCCTCATGTGACATCATTGATGTCACATGGGGTGGGGTCACATGCATGATGTCTCCGGCTGGCCCCGCCCCTTACATTTTTAAGAACTGTCAACCCAACTCACAGCAGAGGGCTGGATGACATTGTCAGGAACGGAACCTTTTTTTTTTTTTTTTTTTCATGATGTAAGCCGCCGGCGAACGATGGCATCCAGCTCTCTGCTGTGAGCTGGGTTGACAGCTATTAAATATGTAAGGGGCGGGGCCACCCAGGGACATCATCCGAGTGACCCTGACCCATGTGACATCCTTGATGTCACATGGGGTGGGGTCACATGCGTGATGTCCCCGGGTGGCCCCACCCCTTACATATTTAAGAACTGTCAAACCACCAGAGCTGTCACACCGCAGGAGCCAGCGTCGGGAACGGGACCTTATTTTTTTTTCGTATTATTTCGGGTCGGCGGCGGCTTATATCGGATTGACGTTGGATCTACTTCGGTGGGCATTCTTTTAGATTTTTCTTTTAATAAAGGACTTGTCAAAAACTGTGTCCTGTCTTTTTTTTTACACTACACTTTTTGTTTTTGGTGAATAAGTAGCAGTACCATGTACCCCATACTCATTCACATGGGGGGGGCCGGGATCTGGGGGCCCCCTTGTTAAAGGGGACTTCCAGGTTCCGATGAGCCCCCTGGCCACAGACCCCCACAACCACTGGCCTTTTTTTGTGACAGATAGAGCTTTATTTTGGTGGCATTTAATCACCTCTGGGTTTTTTATTTTTCTTAAACAAACCAAAAACCACTAAATATTTTGAAAAAAAAACCTTTTTCTTAGTTTTTGTTATAAAATTTTGTAAATTAGTGATTTTTCTCCTTCGCTGATGTGCGCTAATGAGGCTGTAGTGATGAGCACTGATAGGCTGCACTGATGGGCACTGATGAGGAGGCACTGGTAGGTGGCACTGGTAGGTGGCACTGATGGGCATTGACAGGCACACTGAAGGGGCAGCACTGATAGGCGGCACTGATAGGTGGCACTGATAGATAGGTGGCACTGACTGGCACTGATAGGTGGCACTGACTGGCACTGTTAGGCGGCACTGACTGCCACTGATAGGCGGCACTGATGCGCACTTATAGGCGGCACTGACTGGCACTGATAGGCAGCACTGACTGGCACTGATATGTGGCACCGATTGACAGTACTGATAGGTGGCACTGATTGGCATTGATAGGTGGCACTGACTGGCACTGATGGGTGACACTGAAAGGCAGTTCAGATGGGCACTGATATGTGGCATTGATGTGCACTGGTAGGCACTGATATGTGGCATTGATGTGGCACTGACTGGCACTGGCATGTGGCACTGTTCAGCACTGACAGCTGGCACTGATGGACACTGACAGGTGGCACTTCTGGGACTACACTGATCATCAGGGCACACTGATCATCAGTGCCCTAATGATCAGTGTACACGTCCTCTCCTTGGAATGCCGGTTTCCGGCTCTCCTCTCGAGCTGTCAGCGTGACAGCTCGAGAGGAGAGAAATGTATAACTGGCATTTCCCTGTTTACATGTGATCAGCTGTGATTGGACACAGCTGATCACATGACCGAGCCGACGTCTTCAACTCTTTCTGTGGATCATTGATCAGCTGTGTCCGAGGGACACAGCGCACCACCGATCGCTACGCTGAGCGTTCCCGGAGCCGCGCATGCGCGGTGAGAATGGGAGGACGTCATATGATATCCTCCCAGAACGAGAGAACCACCTTGCACCCGTCATTGGACTATATGGCGGGCGGGAGGTGGTTAAAAGATACAAAGTTTTCTGTAACTCAGGGGAAAGTGGTAGCTAAGCTTGTGAACTATAGTGAAGAAAAAAAAAAAGGCTGGCATTTGCATTTAAAAATAAGCACCGACATACACTTCGTATTGCGAAAAGAATTATGAAAACATGTGCAAACCGAGGCATTATTTTCAATGGATTTTCATTCATAAACCGAAAATTACGTTAACCGAGGTGTTGGTAAATCGAGGTACGCCTGTATTAGTATTGCAATCCTTTGTATTTGGATACATAGAACCAGCATACATCTGAATTGACCTTGCCCAGGGACTTAGGGTTGATTCACACCACAGAAATACAGGCTGGATTAGTGTCACAGCTCAGTGGATAAGTGGCTAGCACTGCTGACTCACAGCACTAAGGTTGTCGGTTTGAATCTCAACCACAGCAATGAGGTTGCATGTTCTCCCTGGGCAGCTGTCCTAAAATAGATGTGCTGGCAGCATCTTTGCTTTCTGTCTAATTGATCCCTAGAATGTGAATTAGAATGAGGCCTTGTCTGTTCAAACACTTTCAAAGCTGCACATTATGTGACTGTCAAACGATGGGATGAGATAAGGGCCTGGACTAATGATTGATTTGATAATGCTGGTTTTCACTCCGCCCCCTTTTGGGTTTTTGTCAAGCCAAGAGCTGAGAGAGAAAGAGAGAAGAGCGAGAGACAGAAAAGGATTTTTTTTTTTTAAATTAATAAAATATTGGCATGGAGTCCCCCTAAATCCATAACAGACCCTTATCTAAGTATGAAGATACTGCATGCCTTTAAAGATTTATTTCCTTTGTTGAATTGCCTGCTTGGTTCACACTAGATGCGATTTAAAATTGTGCTTTTTGTTGGCATTTGCACTGTGTTTTCTGTAGATTTACCAACAAGTTATTGCATTTTCATTTGTGTTTTGCGTTGCGATTTCTATTGTAGTCTATATGTGAAATTGCTATAAAATGCAGAAAAAGTTAGACAAGAGCTACTTTTGAAATTGTGCTGCAGCAAATCACGTATGTTAAGACACTGACATTCACATTCATTAGATCCAATATCAGGTACGATTTCAATTCCCAAATCGCACCTGAAATCGCACACCCTGGATGTGACTTGGCATGTGATTTGCATGCCCTGTGACTTGCAAATTGCATGCCAAATTGCACCAGGGGCTAACACTACAGTCACATCTAATCCGATTTGGAAATCGGGCAACTTACAGTGAAGTCGCACGATTTCAAAATCAGATTGGTTGTGAACGGAGCCTATAGTAGACAATAGAGTGCGACTTGGACTACAATTTGCAAGTCGCCTGTCATGCAAATCACACCCGATGTGTCTGGGGACCACCCAGGTCACATCAAGTAGATTTTGAAGTGGTGCGACTTACACTACAGTCACATCATGAGACTTACAGTGAAGTCGCATGATTTCAAAGTCTGGGGGACATGCTGATTTAAAGTGCGAATTGCAAGACATCTGACACAACTTCTATGCAGAAGTAAACCTTGTTTTGTACTCTCACTCTTTAGTAAATAAATTCCATGTTGTCTTTGCATGGCAGGAGGAGTTCCATCCTTACAGCTGCAGAAATGAGAGGTAGAAACTCTAATATATCCTTCCCTTTTCATCATTTCCATTGCCGTTTTAGCACTTTAACACCTACTGTAATATAATGGCCAGGCTGGCCACACTCCAGCATAATCTGTGACCATTCAAAGCAGATCACATGACGATTATAAACAATGAATGGCTTCCTTTCATGCCATTCATTGCTTACAATTGTGTTGCTAGCTGTGATTGGTCACAGTGATCACATGGTACAGACAGGGCCAAACACAGCCCATCTATACCATGTGATCATCTGTGGCCAATCACAGCTAATCACAACAATAACTACCAAATGAATCATTTTAATTTAGTAAAATGGTTGTTTATATCAGTGAATTTCACTGGTATTTGCAATCATAATATGTAAAAAAAAAAAGAAAAATCCTGATCACTTGCCCAGCATAGTACAGTGTTACCATGGTAATATTTTATTGCTCTTGCAACAGGAGTAAAAAAAAAATCATAAAAAAGTAATAATAAATTAATAAAAAAATAGAACTTTAAAAAAAATATATATATATACATATATACATATATTTTTTTTATATACTGTCACCAGTCAGTGTCCCTGATCACCGCCACACCAGGTATATGATGATACTGTACTGCACTGGTGACAGTAGGCGAAAATGTTTGTTTTTTAATTTCTTCATTTTCCACAAAACTATTACAAAAATGACAACTTCAAAAAAGTCGCCATACCTCAAAACTTTCTGAAAAGTGGTAATTTTTGGGGTATTTGTACTGTCCTGGCATTTTTGCGCCTCAAAAAATGAGATCAGGACTGATCAAGTTTCAGATATATACCATAGTTTTTGGACTCTATTACTGACTTGGGTTATTTTTACCAAAGAAATGTAGCGGAATACATTTTGCCCTAAATTTTTGAACAAAAAATTTTGTTTGCCAAATTTTAAAAGAAATACACTTTTTATTCAAAATGTTCTGTCTTTTTTCATTTATAGAGCAAAAAATAAAACACCCAGTGATGATTAAATACCACCAAAAGAAATCTCTGTTTTTGTGAAAAAATGTCACATGGGTACAGTGTTGCATGACCGCAACAAGCTCATATACTGAAAAAAAGAAAGCTGAGTTCTAATCTTCATCTACCCAATCAAAACATTGTCTGTGTTATGATTAGACAGTTTTCTTAAATTCCTATCTAGTGAAACTATTATCGGTATTACAGTGATTGATCTTAACCACTTCAAGTCTGGACACTGTCACCCCCTTCCAGTCCAGGCCAATTTTCAGCTTTCAGCACTATCACACTTTGAGTGATAATTACTCAGTTATGTAACACTGTACCCATATGACATTTTTATAATTTTTTTGAAACATAGCTTTTGGTCATATTTGATCACCACTGTGTTTTTTATTTTTTGCTATATAAATTAAAAAATACAGAAAATTTTGAAAAAATTTGCTAAGGTATGTGGTATGGCAGTGATCAGGACATTAGCATGAGGTATGGTGGTGATCAGGATGCTGGTATGGTGGTTAGTCAGGATCCTGATCACCACCATACTTCATGCTATAGGAGTAAGCAGGATGCTGGTATGGTGGTGATCAGAACCGCTGATATGCAGTGATCAGAATGCTAGTATGGGGTGTATGCTAGTGATCAGGACGCTGGTATAGGGGTATGCCTTTGATCAGATGTGGTAGGGCATATGGGGTGGTCAGGATGCTAATATGGGGTATGGCGGTGAGCAGATTGCTGCTATAGGGCATGGCGGTGATCAGGATGCTGGTATGACATATGGGGTGATCAGGATGCTGGGTACGGATAATGGTGTTGATCAGAATGCTAATATGGGGTATAGACAGTGATCATGGTGTTTGGTGATGGTGTATGGCATTGATTCAGGGCACTGGTATGGTGTATGGTAATAAGGGTGTAGTATGGTTAGTTGGGGTGATCAGTATGGAGGTGATCAGGGATAATCGGTATAATATGGTGTTAATGGGAGGTTGTTTTTTGTGCTCACTTGGGGAAAGGTGACAGGAGTTGGCAAGCATTATTTATTATAAGGTTATTCGTGGGGGCAGTGATCAAGGACACAGTCGTGCACCTAATCGAGGCACTTAGGTGGGTGGCACTGCAGTTTGTGAGTGTACTAGCAGCTGAAAGGCCTGCTTGTAACTAAAATGCTGCTGTATCTCTTCTATGCTCTCACGTAGCTATATTTTGCATTTCACTCTTAAGTGTTTAAATGTGGAGTTCTGTGATTGGTGACAGCAATCACATGGTAAAAACAACCGTGTGATCACCAGTAACCCACGACATGAGCTGTTATGTGTCTTGACTGTGTCCAGCTCGATATAACAATTTGCCGGGCTCATGGGTGCACGATCTGTGAGCCCGTGATGCGGGCTGATGTACGTTACTTAAGCCACATCGGCAAAGCTTCCTATCGCGTTTATATTTGCACATGGGCGGAAGGAAGCGTTAAATAGAACTCTGTATCTTTTCTA